AAACCGAGAACCCCCCCAAGACCGAGGCCCCCCCAGGACTGAAGGCCCCCCAAGGCTCGTGATGGCAGCGGAGCCCGTGTTGAGCCTCTTCCGGGGCCCCGTCTGGCAGATGGTGGCACTGAGGGCCACGGCCACACTGGGACAGCAGCGTCCCCCTTTGTCTGGGCCCCACTGGCCCCTCAGGCTTCCTCCTCCCCAACCTCCGGCCCTGAGCAGGGGACCATGTGGCCCATCCGGCTGTGCCTCCTCAGGGTCGCTCAGGAAGCCCTCTGAAAATGGAGGAGCTCCACGAGCCAACGGGAAACCAGGGGCCCTCGGTGCACGAGGAAACGTTAGACCCTGCGCTTCTTAGACTCCGTTTTTGTTTCCGCTCCAGCGGGAAAGTCACCGATTCCCATCAAGGTAGAAAAGGGAAAACCCACGTCGCCACCTTAGTCATTACGCGGCCCCTCCACCCCCCACCCAGCAGCCGCCAAGGGTGGCCGCTGTCTCTGCGGGCCTCGCCCCTGTGCGGCCCATCGCCCTGACGGGGGTCTGACCACCACGCTGCGTCTGTCCCCCAGAGGGCCCGAGTGGCTGGTTGACTCGGCTTCCTAGTTCCCCGCTGGGCCCTGGCACTGAGTGACGCAGCCGGAGGATAAATGTCCAGAGGGGAGGACCCAGCCGGCGGGCAGACCTGAGCGCTGACTGCCACGGCCCGGCTCCAAAACCCCGGGAAATGCCACGTGTGGATGCGGGCGCTGGGTGGAGGGGCACAATCCTGGAGACGGAGGGAGGCGGGCAGGGAGGGAAGGCGAGCTGGCCAGGAACGCTCCCCGCTCCCCCCCAGCAAGAGGCTGCGTGTCCCTGCCCCCAGCCTGCGCCCGTCCGTCCTCTGGTCTCACCCACTGACGCCGGGCCGCGGCTCGGCCCCCATGTGCTGCCATCGAGCCCCTCACTCTCTGGTGTTCCCCGCCCCCGCGTGGCCCGAGAAAAGTCCACTGTGGGCTTGTCCCGAGAAAGCTGTCGTCTGTGTGGCTAACCGAGAATACTCGAGGGTAGAAAAACACCACATGAAAGAGTTCGGGGCACATTTTAAAAACTCCTCGTGCAGTGGATGTTCTGGAAGCTTCTCTCCCAAGCAGACGTGGGGAAATGGCCCCAAGCACCCAACGTGCCACAAATCACGTGTGGGTCAGCCCCCCTCTGCAACCTTAAGTCTTCTGTAGATGCTAGGACTGCTCACGATAGATCCCAGTCCCTTGATTAGGAAGTCAGATGTGAGGCCACAGAGCACAGAAGGTGCTGGCATCTCAGCAGGGGCGTGGCTGGGGCGGGTGCATGGCTCAGCGACACGGGGCCAGCCTGGGGGCCTGAGGGCCGACCAAGCAGCTCCACGGCCTCCCTCAGTCCTCACCTGGCCGGGAGCTTGAGAGACTGGACCTTCCTGGAGGCAAGAGGGGGAAGGGATTCATTGCAGGAGCCTCCCCCACCGTCAACCCGCCTTTCCAAGAAGGCGCGCACAACTCTGGGGGCCACACCGGCCCTGCGGTGAAGACAAAGCTTCTTCTGGAAGCACGGGGTCCCACAGGGACTGACACGGGCACACAAGCCTGAGGACACTCGAGATCCCTCCGGGTGAGGTGGCTGGTGTCGGGGAGGCCTGGCCGGTGATCTGGCCTCTGTTTCCTGAAGGTCACAAACTCGTCCCCCGACAACATCAGCGACGCCTCCCTCCGGGAATGGTGGTCAGCCAGCAGTAGGGGTCAAGGGTCACGCCTAGGTTGTCGGAGAGGCTGGGGCACCGTGTTCCCAGCAAGCTCCTCTTCTGGGATGACCGCCGTGAGGGTGGGGGCACCAGTGTGAGCCCGTGTGTGCGCCGGCCAGGGGAGGGCCAGCGGGTCCTTCCCAACCCCCCACGTCCCGTCCAGAGCCCTGTCTGCTTCCGGAGGCTTCCCTGGCACGTTGGTTTGGAACCTCTGCTGGATCTCACACCTTTGCCCGCATCTCCTACTTAGTTCCGCCCAGGGATGATGGGAACGGGCCCCGGGCGCCCTGCACGGCCACAGCCCCGACTCTGTGGGTCCATCTCCACACCCCCCGCGCCCGCCCGGAGCCGTCCGTCCACCAGGGGCGCACGAGGACACGGTGGGGAGGAAGGAGTTGAGCCCTGCCCAGCTCCGTGCTCCGAACGCAGACACCCCCTCCCCGCTCCTGCGCCCGCCCAGAGCCGTCCACCAGGGGCGCACGAGGACAGGGTGGGGGGGGGGAGGGGTGGCGGTGGGAAGAGTTGAGCCCTGCCCAGCTCGGTGCTCTGACCCCAGACACCCCCCAACCTGCGCGCCCATCTGCCAGGCCTGACCCAGTGCTCCCACCACCTTCTTTCTCCTGGCTGCTCGAAGGCCACGGCACTGACCTGACAGGGAAATGGGCCTTGAACTTGGTCTGGAACATCCTGGCCAGGATGACCAGCAGCAGCACCAGCAGCACGCTGGTCGCAGTGAACGCCACGACCTTCCACGTGGTCAGGAGGGTCTCGTGAGTGCTGGGCCACGTTTGCTCTGCGGGGAGAGAACAGAGCGGCGCCAGAGGCCGAGCGGGCACGAGTGTGTTTGCTGGATGGATCTGACCTGGGGGGGCTCCGCAGGCAGGCTGGTACTGCCCCAGGTCAGACCCCCCGCACCCCAAAGTCCGTCCCCAGTGTGGCCTCTGTGCGGCTGCCGGCAGGTAGGGAGGGCGGACAGCCTGGTGCGCAGTGAGAAACACACCTGCTTCTCTGGCAGAGAACAGGGGTCACTCTCCCTGGGCACCTGGGGCAGGGGGGTGGGCTGCGACCGTCGGCCGTGCTGGAGAAAGGGATGGGGGGTAAAGGGATGTGTCCTCCGCGGCCTCTCATCCACCTCTGACCGTCAACACGTCTGCCAGGAGGAGAAGGCAGGAGCGGCCCTTCCAGGGGAGTCCCCATCCCTGGGGCCGCCCCCTCCCCGTGTAACGGGTTCCCATCCAAGGGTCACCAGATGTCCCAGGTTAATAAGCGCTTCCCCCACATACAGCGGCCAGGGGACAGGTGCTCTGGCAGGAAACCCCAGGGCGAGTGGGTGGGACCAGATGGGCGAGAGACCGAGATTGTGGTCACTACCCTGGGCTCCTGGGACCGGTGGTGGGTTTGCTAGCATCTTGCTGGTAACTAGGAGGCCCCCAGGTTTGCAAACGGCCTGCGGTTTTCCAAGTGGGCGCAGGTCTTACCTGCAATTACACCCTCGTGTTCTACACGCATCAACTGGAAGAGAAAGGCCGGGCTGGCGCCCAAGGGCCGGGGGCCTCCTCAGAGGGAGGGACGGGGCTGGGGGAGACCCCGTGCGCAGAGGACCGCCCTGCCCCCGGGCGGGGAAGCATCTGGGGCCCCAGCGAGGAGTTTCCGCGTCACGGGTGTCCCTCGCGCCGGAGTAGGGAGGGGGCCGTGACCTCACGCTGCTCACCTGACTTGATGCAGTAAACCTGGTAGGAGGGGAACCACTGCCCGTACTGGCAGGTGACGTACTTGTAGTCGCTGGTGAGGCTGTAGCCGGGGTCGCAGTAGAACTCTACCACGGTCCCGTGGTCGTAGCGCTCACAAGGCCGCGGGTGGCAGACGAAATCACCGTGACTCACGGTGGGAGGCAGCGGACACACTGGGGCAGCGGGTAGAAAAACAGCTTCAGGACTGGCTCGGGGATGGCGCCTGGGGCCCGCAGAGCCCCTGCCGCGCCCCGGGCACGTGTGGGAGCCCCTGCCGCGCCCCGGGCACGTGTGGGAGCCCCTGCCGCGTCCTGGGCCCCACGGGAGCCCCTGCCGCGTCCTGGGCACGTGTGGGAGCCCCTGCCG